CAATCCAATTACATCATGCTTGATCAAAAAGACGAGCTCAACGAACTCCATCTGGTCTTATTGAGCTTGGTTTTCCTCATTTTCCATTGAGCACGGTTTACCTCGCATTCTATTGGTTTCATATTGAGCTCAGTTTAACCTTCATTCATCCAGTAAATGAGAGGTAATCTGGTATTAAGACTTGGAGGGAGCATGAGATGAGCTAGAGTGGCCATGTTTCTGGCAAACTTTTCAAGTTTAGTTCATGAATTCGGGACTTTTAGAAGTATGTTTTTGGTCGAATTCGAAAAAGAAAACACAAGAGCAGCAAAGAATGATTTAATGTTACTAAGGATATGAAGGAAATGACACCAGGTGAGCATTGGCACTTTGTAGTACATTGTTTTACGGGATGGTGTTTGTTTCAACTTGCTGGTTCATAGTTTTTAGTAACGTTTTGTTCAGTTTCAAACTTAAGCTCAATCCTGAAGTGTACATTTCTCAGCTATTTAAATCTCAGTAGTGTAATATGAAAGTCTCCCTCCATTTTTCCAACCCCAAGTAGTATACATGACAGCAAGCAACAATACATTCTATTTTTATTATATAAATTCAATACACTTTCATGTTTCTATTTTAATTGGTTGTTTGTAATTAGGAAAAGGAACAGAACTCTAATGAAATATGAAAATCTTTTGGAGAATGTGACAAAAAAAGTCGGAAAAGAAATGTTTGTATTGAGTTGAGATTGGTTGAGAATTCATGTTCTCTAAGACCTAGATAAAGGTAAATAATGCAGTTTAGAAAAAGACTTGATTAGAACTGTATCAGACTAGGTTTTAAGCATGAATGGTGAACACTTACACTTGGTTGTAAGTTATATTATTTTAATAAATAAGCCATCAAGGCGGTAAGATTGAAATATTTCCATAAAACAATTAAACAAACAAACAAACAAACAGAAAAGCTTCTCCAGCAAGGCCGACAAATGCTATTGTGCAGCAGTTTGTGCTGTAAAAAATACATTTCAGTATTAAGGCATAACAGAGGCAGGTCCTCTTAATAATTATTTCTAGCTTTTGTTAATGTGGCCTTTCAACTATGGTTTGTACTCAAGAAAACAAATCGAAACAGCCTCACTTATGTGTAGCTGCCTGCAGACATCCGAATTAGTGGAAGTGGACTAAAAAAAAAATAACATATTTTCCATCTCTTGCAAGCAAATAGTAACTATACTTAATATATACATTATCAAAGACCATGGTGGATCTACAACATTTCATGAAATTTAAGAAAGTGTGGTGGGCTACTATAATTGTTAAAAGAAGCTAAATTTTGAAATATAAAATTAACATACAGTTCAAGCTGTATTTGTTTCACTCATTCTATTCAGATATTGCATAACACAATCACACTGTGATATTATTGATACCAGTGAGAGAAGAGTATTTTTGAATCCAGACTGATTAAATGTTAGCTAGATGAAGACAGATTTTGTTAAAAGTGAGTAATTTTCAGGAATTGGTTTGATAGTTGGGAGCAAAGAGGTTTCCGTCATTAAAAGGTCTTAAAATGTTCAATTCAGTTATTAATGTGTTGATAGATCCACCAATCTAATTAACTGTAAAAGCTATTAAACAACTGCAACAGTTCACTTTTAACAAAATAATCAATGCTTGTTGATCTAATCTTGGTTTTTAAACGGCCTAACCTAGCCCTCTTTATAGACTGTAAAAACCATATTCTTAAATTGCAGTCATGACAAAAGAACACAAGCAAGACATCACGGGCTGTACAGTTAGACATAATAAAAAAGCTAGTTCACTTTTTAGCTGAGTTGAACATTTAATGACCTGTTAGTGAAATTAATACAAGTTGAGATAGTGAATAATAATTTAAGTAATATCAAGTCTGCCTTTTTGGTCATTCACACTTCCAGGTACCATCTCAATCCTTCAAAAAAAAAAATCAATGTATTTAAAAATCATAACATTGTTCCACTAATAATAGTTGTAACTCTCTTGTCAGCATGTTTGATTTCAGGAACAAAAACCGACTGTTTCGAGCCTTTGTACATAATCCATTTTTGCTATTCTTGTTTTTCCTTGACAGACTTTTGATTGAAAGCTTTTTACTGTTGCACGCATTACATAAAGAATTTAAATTTGTGTTAAATGCTACAGCATTTATCTGTAATACACATTTGCACTCTGTGTACTCATAATCTTACCAAATTTCTCTTATGTTGAAGGGTCCTTTTTTTGCCCTCTTTCTTTTGGCTGTTTTCCTCCTGGCCCTCCTTTTCTTTGTACCCTCTTCTTATCCTTCAGTTTCTATCTCCTTTGATTTTCTCTTCACGTTCTTTTTCTACTACTCCAGCTGGTACTCCTTCTTCCCTCCTTTATCTCCATTTTCCATTGTTTCTTCTTCATTACCTACTCCTTTTTCCTCTTCCTTTCCTTTTTCCTGCTTTTCTTCTTGATCTCCTTCCTTAGTCCCTTCTTCTTTCCCCGTGTCTCCCACAGCTTGGCTTTCATCTATGATCATACAGAAAATGTTGAGTTGCTTGGTTCTATGTGTTTCTTGTTCACAATTTTTATGTTTAGCCGAAACCTTGAGTTTGCTAGTATTCAAACAAAATAATATTTTGTGGGCCACTGTGATATCATGAACTATGTATTACCATGGGGTGGTAATCTTTCTACATGCATTTTCATTGGTGGACTAAGAATGTTATTTCTTCGATAGATTAACAAAAGTCAAGGTTTTCATACCTACTACAGTTGCAGAAAGGTTGCATTGTTGGCTGGAAAATTCCTTAAGAAGGACGCCTGCAACTAAAATAATTAAAATACACGTTGTTCCTTTAGGCATCACACCATCCTTCATTGATTAAATTTACAATTTGAAAACACTTTATTAACTATAAATATTTAATTGAGACTAAAACTGTCTGCTACTATCCATGGAATTGCTTAAACAATAGAACAAGTGCTGATGTTAGTGTCAATGCTTGTGAACAGGGAGGCATGACTGTCTACCTCAAGTGTTGATGCTCACGAAGAGCTTTGTCCCAAGGAGCTTTTTTGTCTACCCCAAGTGTCCTGGCTAACAAAAAGCTTCGTCCTTAGGAGCTTTCCTGTCTACCTCTAATGTCGAGGCTAACAAAGAGCCTCATCCCAAGGAGCTTTCCTGTCTACCCCAAGTATTGCGGTTAACAAAGAGCCTCGTCCCAAGGAGCTTTTCTGTCTACATAAAACAATAATGGCTAAAAGAGGAAAAGCTTTTAGAAATTATAGGTTCAAACACGAGTTGAAAGTTACTTTTCTTTTTAATTTTTACACGAAACAGAGGAGGTTGAAACGTAAGGAAAAAAATGGTGGGGCAAGCAGTCATACCTGGCAACTTCAAGAGAAGATATAAAAGAAGCCCATACGATTCTGGCCTCTTGATTTACTAATACATTGTTATCACGTCTGTACTCTTCAATCGACTGATGTCCAAACTCGATGTAGTTTACCGTCGTTTCTCTCAATTTTGGTTCATTTTCCCAAACCAAAATTATCATTCCCGCTCAAAAGAATATAATTTCAACTGATGCTGGCATCGCACACTTCCTCTGAAGAAGAAAAGATTCTCTATCTTCAAAAATTTGCTCAAAACATCAGGAACAACAACAAAGGTCCTCAGCTGCTTGAAGATGCCGCTGAATAGCATGATTTGTGAGAACATTATCCCCAGGTTCCAGACCTCGCCAATTCTTCCCTTTCCTTCCCACCCCTTAGATTGGTCTCTTAATCCCTTAGAAGAAACTCTTCTACGGCCAGTGCTGAAAAGTTTTATTACAGTTTTTATTATAATGAGGGGCTAGAAAATAAACCAGCAAGAGCTC